GGATCAGATACATTGAGGATGGCTCGAATGTAAGCCGAAACGTCTGGTTTTTTTGATACTTAATAAATCTTTTGCTCGCACGAATTACAGCGATATAACTCTCAGTTGCCTGTTTCTTTGTTTATATTTTTATATTGCTTTGCAAATCATCGAGCGTTATCATATTTGTTTATTATTGATTTGTGTAGCTCGTATCTGTTCGAAACATTTTCATCCTTCACAATTTGAAAATAAATCGTGGTTACAAGATTTCGTTGGAAAATCTGCGAATGTACGAGTAAAACTAAGACGTGATGCAGTTCCATTGATAGCTGTAGAGGACAACAAAATTTCCATGGATAACGATTTAGGTATACATATAGTCCATTTTTAACATTTAAAGTGATTATTATAACATAAAGAATTTCAAATGATAATTTTTATAATATATGTATGTCAATAATATTTGTCTTGTACTTTGCTTTCTTATGTATTAAATATATTTTTAGAAGTAGATATTGCACAGCCCGTTGCCCGTTGCTCGTTTAATCCAGGTATAGATTGTGCTGCGTCGACCTCCACATCGAGCTGTGCATCTCAAGCTGCGCTGAACACTGCAGTGGTTCCTAACATTGGTACATTTTGTCACTGTATTTCACTTGTTTCTTAATTACTTATTATTTACACAAATATACATACTTATTTACATAATGATTTTTCATATATAATATATTTCTCCTTTTATGTTGAGGCAGATATCTCTCAGGAAATGGAGAGAGTTTCGGTTCTCTACCCTGATGAAATTTATTCTTCTGATGAAATTTATTTGTCAAACCAAGATCAAATTGAAGAAACTAAGGAGAAAGTGTATGTGTATGTTGTATTGAAAAATTAAAAAAAAGTGTATGAATAAGAACCCTGTGCTGCAAATTCTTACAAGAAAAATTCTTGTGAGAGCTTCTAAGAAAATTTTTACATACGAATTTCGGACAAAAATATACAAGATTGTATAAGAATATATCGCATATAATACCTGTATGTAAATCCAGAATCTTGCATGAATCTTACTCATGTTACATGAATCTTATATAAGCATGTTACATGACCCTTACACACATGTTACTTGAATCTTTCGCGCATGTAACGTGAATCTTGCAAGAATATAATTGGAGTGTCATTATGAAAATATTACAAGAATACTATTGGAATTTTGTGTGATTTATTGCTCGTATCCCAGTAAATGAAATGGAATGGGACAAGCAAGGAGTTGAATGGGATTTAAAAGAATTTATTTTGGCTAAAAATTAATTCTTTTTACATAAATTGAATAACGGCTTCTTGATTAAATTAAATTTAATTTGAGAAAAGATCATAAAAAGCCTACGCCAGTTATACAGGGTCATCGAAAAGTATCGGACCCCTCTAATATCTTCAGTTAGAATGCATTTTGGAGAAAATGTCCAATAGCAAAGTTGTATGGTTTCAAGCGAGGAGTAAGATGATGACCTTGACTTTGATCTTGACCATGTCCTTTAAGGTCATTTCAAGGTCAACCTTATTTTTTTAAATGGAACCCCCTACATTTTATTTCATATTTTTATAGCTTATCTCGAGAGCTTTCCAAAACACTATAATAAAACATTTTTTCATTAAGTATAACCGCTTGAAGCAGTACAACTTTGCTATTGCACATTTTTCCAAAATGCATTCTTACTGAAAATATTAGAGGAATCCAACACTTTTTGGTTAATGTATTTTCTTTAAACCAATTAATTGATCTCATTATTCCACGTACAAAAGTATTAAGGTTATGATTACTGAAAACTAAATAATATTTTACAAGATATTTTACATTTTGTGTCAAAAAATTGTTAACTTCAAACCTTTATAACTCAAAAAGTACTTAATGAAAAAATGTTTTATTATAGTGTTTTGGAAAGCTCTTGAGATAAGCTATAAAGATATGCAATAAAATGTAGGGGGTTCCATTAAAAAAAATAAGGTTGACTTTGAAATGACCTTAAAGGACATGGTCAAGATCAAAGTCAAGGTCATCATCTTACTCCTCGCTTGAAACCATACAACTTTGCTATTGGACATTTTCTCCAAAATGTATTCTAACTGAAGATATTAGAGGGATCCGATACTTTTCGATGACCCTGTATAGCGAAATTATAATTTATCAATTCATTAAGACGGTGATAATATACGTTTCGACCTTTTATTCAGTCATTTTTCAGTATTCTAACAAATTTTTTAATTTTTCTTAATTCTTTTTTATTTCATATTCAATCCAGTTTCTGTTTTTTCAATAATTTACTGGGATGATCGATACCTTTATTACTTTGGAGCGATGTAAAAAAATTATTTCTTAAGAATATCTTATTAGGCTAAATTAGCAATTAAAATCTATACAATAAATAAAAACATATAGTTACGAAATAATTTATCTTTCAAGTTGGTGCAGGAATCTGATATAAATCGTTGTATACGATTCATGTCAGATTCCTGCACCAACTTGAAAGAGAAGAGATAAATTATTTCGTAACTATATGTTCTTTTAAGACTGATACATGATCTTTCATGTATCATTTAGGAATCATACATAATTAATATCATATTCTCTTGGATATGATCCTGTAAAGAAATTATTTTTTAAGTTTCTTATAAGATTAAGGCAAGATCTTTTCATTGCTATATAAATCATCGTGTACGATTCATGCCAGATTCTTGTAACAATTTGGAAAATAAATTATTTCACAACTATGTCTCTTAAGGCGATGCTAAAGCCTCCTGTTTTACCCACATTTCCATTCGGTGAAAAATCTCTGTATTGGATGTACGGATTGCAAAAGTATTATTGCTTAAATTAAAGTACGCACAAACAGGACCTCAGCTGCATTGGATTTCATGAGAAAATCGAAAAAAAGTTTCAGATTCGTTAAAAATTCCCTTACTTTTGGCTCGTACAACTGTCACCTCAGATATATATTTGCTTGATATAAGAGTTTTAGAGTCCATATCTTGAAAATAAGCGTGCAGCTGAGGTCACATTATTGAAACGAACGATACCGAGTTTGTAGAACTAAGATTGAAAGTCTAGAAAAGAAATATTTCCACCGAATAGAAAATACGTGTATACAGATGTTTTGCGAAGACTTGGACTGTCAACAGAGCCGAAATTCCGTGTAGCAGTAATTGCGCGGTCTTGCGATAGATGATGCTGGCATATGTTAGATAAGAACAGATGTATGCGTTTGAGTAAGACAGAATGATATATATTATATAATTTTAAATAAGGGCACGAATAACGAAATAAGAGCCTTAAACAAACAAAGGAGACTCGCGAGCGCTTCAGAAGAAAGAACTGAAGATACGCGGAAAAGTGGAATGAAAAAACGCGCAAAGGATGCACGCTAACTACGCCGCGACCGAGTGCATCACGCGCCAACCAAGAGCACCCCTAGGAATATTGCGAACCCCGCTAAAAATGAGAACGACCGAAAGAACAAAAAGACACACAGTAATTAAATAAATCGCGATAGAAGAATTAGAACATTCGAGAGAATTTCGCAACAACACGTATGCGAAAA